TCACCCCTGAGCTACAGCAATGGTCTCAAACTCAGTTCCTGGAGGGACACAGCTCTGCATAGTTCAGCTCCAACTAGTGGTGGGCTAAGCGAGGCTTCATAATAAATATGTCTTGTTTTGGTTGTAAAACAAGATTGTAGCTAGATCAGACACCAGTTGTGGCCAGAAGTTAACAACAATTATTTATATTATTAATTAAATTTCCCATTGTATTTTATTAAGGTCTACCCAAAACCTAAACCCATCACTGTACTGTAAAATTATTAATTATTGTCTTACAGTGTTACAAAAATGATGCTAAATTGTTGGCGTATCAGTAGCTGTATTCTATCTAGACTACACCATAAAACAGTAACATTATTCAAATTCCTAAATCATGATTTTGGAGTACTTGTACAAGTCGGGATTCGAACCCAAAAGTGATTTGAACCGCAGTATCATTGTGCTCTCGCACAGTCCAATAGGCAATATGAGACGGAAATGTTTACAGACCCTATCAGTCAAATGCAGATTCTTTAGGTCTCGAAACGCTTCTGAACTGATCGATGCTTTGAATCACTTTAGTCACATGACTAGGTGTTCTTTGGTCACGTGACCTGGGTGTTTTAGATCATGCTTCGGTGCAGTGTTCAGAAACACTTGCGCTTCGGGATCTCGACACTGTGTCGAAACGTCAGTTTCACGTCAGCCATCCCTAGCTCCAACCCCCTCCAACTCACAGCTGCTTAACAGTTTCTAGTAGTATCGAATACCTTGATTAGTTGGATCAGCTGTTGGAGCAAAACTGTGCAGGGCTCCGGCCCTCCAGGAATCAAATTTGAGACTTATGAGCTACAGCAGGGGTCACCAATATCGGTCTCTGCAGGGTTTGGCTCCAACTTGCCTCAACACACCTATTACTATACCTAGTAAGACCTTGATTAGCATGTTCAGGTGTGTTTAATTAGAGTTGGACCTAAAATCTGCAGGATACTGGACCTCCAGGAACAAGTTTGGTGACCCCTGAGCTAGAGAGAGAATCTCTAGATCTTCAGAGCACTAACTGGGTTCCAGACGATGCTAGAGTTGTGGTGAACTGTTGAATTGCTGAGATTATTGTCTGACCTGTTGATGACTGGTAGTTTGGCTCTGTTGTTGCTAAGAGCATTACCACTGTAAACCTTGATTTCTTTGTTTTGCTTTTTTCTCCAGAAAGCTGTAAGGAGCTGCACGGCCTGTGCTTTTCATTGGAATTTGTTCCTGTTTTGAGGGAGTCAGTGTAGTTTTGTTGATCATTTTCATCATTGTTTACTTGTAGGTTATTTAGAGGTTTAATCTGTCACACTTATGAAAGCACATGATGATAGCAGTACCTTGGCCTTTCTCAAAAGCTGCTGCAGCTCATCCTGGGGCAGCAGGCCGTGGTTCCTGACAAATGCGGGCACCTCTGGGGGCCGCTGGGCCTCATAGTACACTGTCCCATGGATGTCCATGTAGCGGTGCAGGATGGAAAGCAATTTCTCCTTTCCCTGCAGAAGAGATGAGGAAAAGATGAGAGATGGAGAGATGAAGGTCTACAGGGAGATTAGCATGTCTACTGATGATGTATTATTTACATGAGAAACATGATATAATATTCTTGGCCTTTTTGAGTTGCATTGCACAGCCACAGACATTAATGGAATATGTGAGTAGTGTTACGTTTCACGTATGTTTTGTAGTATTTTTTTTTTTCCATTTGATAAATGGTGCACATTTAGTAAAGTGTCGAATTTCCAAACGTTGCGTGAATTAATCTTGTTGGAAGAATTCAAAAGTTGTGTGCCCGATCGTGTTGTCGTTTATTTAAACGAACAGAAAGTAACTTCATTATCTGAAGCTTCAGTTCTCGTTGATGAATTTGCACTGACTCACAAGAATGTATTCACCCCTGCTCGTGTTGAAAAAACACTCGTAACTTCCATTTCGAAAAGTCCAACCCGTTTCAAAAATCTGACGGTAAAAACCGGTGAAGAAAGAGCCTGTTACTACTGCCATAAAATAGGACATTTAATAAGTGACTGTGTTTTATTAAAGCGTAAGCAACAAAGTGCTGTTCCTAAAAGTGTTGCTTTTTTAAAGACAATTGATGTTGGTGAAACTCCGGCAGTTTCTGATAGGCTGGATGCAGATCCAAGTTATAAGCCTTTTCTTCTCGAAGGTTTTGTGTCCGTGGATAAATCCACGAGTCCGGTTAAAATAACCATCCTGATGATTTCGTTTATTGCTGCTGACGTTTTACCACTTTCGGATGAGACATTTTGTGGAAGCCATGTATTAGTGCGAGGAATTGAGACGGGTGTTACGAAAGTTCCACTTCATGAAATTTACCTACAGTCTGAGTTTTTTTAATTGCTACACGAGATCAAATGTCGAAGCTGAAATGTTACTTATATAATGTAAATCTGGATATACCTAGGCATAGCTGCATAATAACAGTTTGGTACATGGAAATGACATAATGTGAGCCTCAAACACCATTGTTTCTTTAATCCCATAAACATAATATCGTAGTGAAAAATTAAAACAAAATACAGACTGTTACACATGGAATTATTTATATGCATGCCGCAGGCTGCCTTTCTTTGGCCACAAAGTTTCCTAGTGAGATTACAACAATTTCAATCTTAAAACCCTTATTTTTATGTGTTTCTCAACTTATATTAAACTTACTGTGCATGTACAACCCCACCATCTAGCACCTGTGTTACTGTATATTTGCTAGTTTACCATGTATATTGTAAAATCAGCTGAGTATGTTTGTAACGAGGCAACAAATACATGTAGACTGCAGAGTATAGTTGTTTAATTCACATTTATGCATCGTGTCATATCTCTCAGCTCATACTGTCAGTTTTTTTAGAGTGAAAGAACGCCATTAAACTTTATTAAACACCATCTGCTAATGCAGAACTTGATATTAATTCCTGGCTGTGATTTCATACACATTAAAGCTTTAAAATATAACTCGAAATACATCTCTGTTGGCCCCTATTATTATATTATAGCCTATAGGTAGGCCCACATGGAATCTGTGCACGCAGAAATCCACAGAGTTTTATTATTTATTTATTTATTTATTTATTTGTGTAAATGTATGTGAATATTATATTTAATCACTTTTTTATTAATTTCAGTAATATTATTGACTAATATGAAAATAGTCATAAGATTGTTTTCATAATACAGTTCGTAAATGAATATTTTCTGTTTTTTAGTAAATATATTATTTGAGAGACTTGCTTTGTTTACCAATTAAGTGGATCGAATGGGATTTGTATTGTAAACATTAAATAAAAGTCAGAAAGGTGTTATTTTTATTTCATATATCAAGTTTTTTGTTACAATACTCCCAAAATCATTCCGCATAAATCCGAATATGTTTTTACAGAATTATGCACAGAATTATGCGCAAAAAAAAAAAAAAAAAAAGTCTGCAGATTCTGTCTGGCCCTACCTATAGGTCATCGACAACACAACTCAGGAGAAAACAAGGTGACTATGGTAGATTTAAGGCCAGTCCACATGAATGTGGGTATTTTCAAAACTGCATTTTTTCTATATGGTTTGCTGTTTGTCCACACAAAAACATAGTATGGACCCATTTTTTACAATCCCATTTACAGAAATAAAAAATAAAAACTTAACGATGGTGTTATCAAGACTTTCAGAAAACGAAAAAAAAAAATGTGCGACAATGGGGCGAGGCAGTGGGGCAGTAGGTAGTGCTGTCATCTCACAGCAAGAAGTTCGCTGGGTTGCTGGTTCGAACCTCGGCTCAGTTGGCGTTTCTGTGTGGAGTTTGCATGTTCTCCCTGCCTTTGCGTGGGTTTCCTCCGGGTGCTCCGGTTTCCCCCCACAGTCCAAAGACATGCGGTACAGGTGAATTGGGTAGGCTAAATTGTCCGTAGTGTATGAGTGTGTGTGTGAATGTGTGTGTGAATGTTTCCCAGAGATGGGTTGCGGCTGGAAGGGCATCCGCTGCGTAAAAACTTGCTGGATAAGTTGGCGGTTCATTCCGCTGTGGCGACCCCGGATTAATAAAGGGACTAAGCCGACAATTAAATGAATGAATGAATGAATGTGCGACTGATAACGGCAGCCAGAAGAGAGAACAGAATCAAATTTACTGTCCTGCCCCGTGGACGCTGCATTAGAAACAACTCGAACAAGCGGTAATTGTTTTTTTTTTTTTTTGTAATTTGATGCAAAGATTATATAATACATATGTAAATATAAATGTACATACATTTTTTTTTTAATAAAAAAAAATCTAAAACTTTCAAGGATTTAAGATCATGATGACCGTTATATCATTAAAAGACAACAATTACTAAAGGGTGACTGAAAACAAAAATGTCTGAAAACTCAAGGTAAAGACTTTCTGATACTCCGGGTTGCACAGATGAGCTGTGGAGCGTCAGAGTTGAGCTCATTAATTTTCACATACACATTTTCAATTTCAAATTAAGCTTGGGTGGGGGGCGTTTTGATTGGGCCTCCTAATGGAAACTCTAGGAACCCTAAAATAGTGTAGGCCCTTACAATCATTAAAACTTAACCCCCCCTATAGCGGCGCACATGCTAGGGACTGGTTTAGTGCTGTAGACTGTGAGTAGGTTAATTGATTTACTAAACTTCCCATAGACTTTACAAAAAGTCCCATAGTCCCACATTTTTTAGATGTGTATTTGTTTTGGATATCTACATGCTTTCGGGCACCAAAACAGTGACACAATTCACGTGTATAAGATATAAAACATCTGTAAAACTTTTGGTGTGTTACTTCAACCTAAATGGATCAATGTTTTTTTTTCATGTGACCTCATACTTTCAGTTTTCGTCGTGATCAATCAAATGCTCTCTAGAGTCTGACCTGGCCTCACTGGCAGAGCGATGTTTATTTTTTTTAAGGGGATATGTCCCACTCTGTCCATGTTTCGCTTGACATTGCATAAACATTGAATAAAAATGCAGATTTCAAAGCATTTCACAGGACCTTTAACTGTACAGGTTTAGCCGTGTGATAGGTTTAAGGATTAATAGGAATGTGCATTTCAATTATTTAAAGGCATTTGTTGTTTTTGCATATGGGAATGTGCTTTTTAAAAATAATTTAGACAAGGGTTGAAAGCAGAAACAATGATTTGTCCATTTTACTTTTGTGGCTGCAGAATGGGGCAGTGAATCTGACTCACAGCTTCATATAAATACAGCAACTGCAACTGTTTTTCATGAGAATATCGAGGAATCTGTTGAATTCATTTGCCTTTGACAGAAACAAAGGATGTGATGTGATGCAGCAGCAGCAGCAGCCCACAGTTCAATAAAGAGCCCAGCGGAGCACAACACTTCATTTCCTGTGTTTGTCTGAGCCTCTTTTTTTTTCATTTGTATTTCTGCATATTACACTGAAGCGTAATCACTGCACAGTTTATGATTACTATTTAAATGATGTTTCGCACACAGTTTTTACACTGATTACCTCAAATTCATGTTTTTGTGTGTGTGTGTGTGTGTGTGTGTGTGTGTGGTTGTTTGTTTCTGGCTCACAGGAGCAGAAACACATCAGATTATATTCATCGTACCAGTAAGATACACGCACCGGCCACTTTATTAGGTACACCTTATTAGTACCGGGTTGGAAGCCCTTTTGCCTTCAGAACTGCCCTAATCCTTCATGGCATAGATTCAACATTGTCATCTTCAAGAAACCAGTCTGAGATGATTCCCGCTTTATGACATGAGTTCAAAAAAAGTTCAAAGCGAGCATCAGAATGGGGAAGAAAGATGATTTAAGTGACTTTGAACGTGGCGTGGTTGTTGGTGCCAGACGGGCTGCTCTGAGTATTTCAGAAACTGCTGATCTACTGGCATTTTCAAGCACAAACATCTCTAGGATTTACAGAGAATGTAAAAAGAGATCATATCCAGTGAGCGGCAGTTCTGTGGGCGCAAATGCCTTGTTGATGCCAGAGGTTAAAGGAGAATGGCCAGACTGGTTCCAGCTGATAGAAAGGCAACAGTAACTCTTATAATCACTCGTTACAACCGAGGTCTGCAGAAGAGCAGCTCTGAACACAAAACACATCCAACCTTGAGGCAGGAGGGCTACAGCAGCAGAAGAACACAGCAGATGCCACTCCTGTCAGCTAAGAACAGGAAACTGAGGCTACAATTCACACAGGCTCACCTAAATTGGGCAATAAAAAAATGGAAAAATGATACCTGGTCTGATGAGTCTCCATTTCTGTTGTGACATTCGGATAGTAGGGTCAGAATTTGGCATCAACAAGAAAGCATGAATCCATTCTGTCTTATATCAGTGGTTTAGGCTGGTAGTGGTGTAATGGTCTGAGGGATATTTTCTTGGCACACTTTGGGCCTATTAGTATCAATTTAGCATCGTGTCAACACCACAGCCAAACCTGAGTATTGTTGCTGACCATGTCCATCCCTTTATGACCACAGTGTACCCATCTTCTGATGG